GTTGGTAAAGAGTAGCCAAGAGTTGGCGGTGGGTGGTGATGACTAGCTGCCTTCCCTCTAGTCTTACACTGCTAAATTAGGGACGGCTAGCGCAGATAGCCCTCGTGTAGCTTTGCGCGAAATTCCAAAACAAACAAACAACGTGGCGCCATATATGAACGTAGTTAACCTACGTCAAGTATAGTAAATGACAAATAACAACAATAATCCATAGAGGGGTGGTGAACCCTCAATAACACGTCCCTTGTTCCAAATTATCATCCTACAAAGTTTAATTGAGATTGGCTCAGCGACCTAGGAGTAGTTAGATAACGAACAAACAGACATACAAACACATAGATTTTTGTTCTTTGTGTATATAAATAATCATTTCATTAAAAACTATAATAATACAATAGGAAACTTCATTTTTTTGCTATTCTGCATTGTTTAAATTCTAAGATGTGTGGTCTAAATATTAAAATATATCTAAAAATAGAGTGTCAGAAGAGGATTTTGAACACATGATTCAATAAAGTACATAGCTAAAAAAGTATACCAATCTAACCGCTTCACCTTTCTAACCTTATTCCTTATTCTAATCTTATTAAAAGGCCAACAGGACCATTACTTTGTATTTACCAACTAAGTTTATGCCATTAGTGGGTATCATAAAAAATAAAATGTCAGTGTTTAAAGAGAATCATGAGAACAATAACATTCAAAATAACTGGATTAGCTGAGGCTAAATCCTGGGTTTGTGTGAGGTGTAGTCCTGCGAAAAATGAACTTTTTTTATCTCCTATTTATAGTTTGAATTTTACTTCATACTTTAATCCATTCTCTTATTAAATCCTGTAGGATTCGCTACTGTGACTACATTGTCTATCAATAGTTATAGAAATAATCAAAAGTGACCAAAATACATCAAGACATCTTGGAATACTTACGGACTCCTCATGTACTGCTGCACTAAGCGGCTGTCATGGGAGTAGACTCCCCACCCACATGGCGTTGTTCGACTGCAGATATGCTTCTGATCAGGACTTCGCTAAGTTGATAGAAAATACAAGTAATCGAATATTATTTAAAATCTAAATAAATAGAAGTTAATTTAACCTATTCAAGATCCATCAATAGTTAATTAACTTCAGAAAAAGTTATTTAAGTTTAAGAAAAAAGCAAACAATATCACAGGAGATGAAAAAAACTGCCTCTTTCGTTCCACGTCAGAGCACATCAGCAGTGACTAAAAGTCGGAAAAAATGAATTAAAAAAGAATGAGAAAAAGAACGCTCGCGGTCAAGAAGGAATTTATCACTTTTGTTGAGCCCCTCAGTGGCACAGCGGTATGTCTGCGGACTAACAACGCTATCAACCGGGTTTCGATACCCGTGGTGGGCAGAAGCTCATTGTGTAGCTTTGTACTTATAGTATAAACAAACACTTTTGTTGGGTCTAAGTATTTCCATTGTTTTGCCATCTTAAAAAGTATACACAGAACTAAATGTCTTGTTTTTTATACATATAGCGTTCATACTCGCTTTTGGATACTCTAAGTCCAATTAATATAATGGGATCTGATGGGTTGTAATATCTGGCAGACAAGAAATAGGTTCGAATTTAGTACAAAATGCTATTTTTACACGTCTCTGATTAGAAATTAGCAAATGACTTATAGGAATGTGAAGGAAAACAGTTTACGTCATTTTTTGTAGTATGTTTCACTTTTACAGTGCTGCCAGTGACTCAGAGCTGCAAGTAAACTCACATGGTGTCCTTAAGTATAGAATGTTATCTAAGGTATATTATATCTGTAATAGCTGGTTCTAGGATAATAGCTAAGTCTAACATTATTGATTTTAATTGGTCAAGAAGAAAAATGTCAAACACAGTGTTTACACTTTATTCTACAGGTGAACAAATATGAATAAATATAAGAAACACGATACGTAACTAACAGTAAAACAAAGCTTAAAAAATATAAGTACTCTCTCTTCACAGGGTCGGCTGTCTGTAAATGATATCAGATGATGGACAAATTGACAAAACACAACATGTGCTTCTTGCTGAATTAACTTTGTACAGAGTTAAATTCAAAGTCCCGAAATTCGCTTATTTGACTAAATTAATATAAGTTCTGTATCTAGCCAATCAGAAAGAGTCAAATAAAGTTTGTGACATCTCTATCCTTCTACGAGACTACCAGTTCAACAAACCAGAAATAACAGGCTCTATTGTCGCGCTTAGTTACAGTTCAAGGTTGGACATACGGGTTTCGCTATTCAAAGCAGTTACCTATTGTAAACTAAAACTATGTTAAATTCTGTTCAGCAGAATGGTTTATTTTATGACGGAAATCCATCGTACTAAGTCAAATAAAGCAAAATAGTGCAGCTTATAATAATGTAGAACTTAGAGACCCTGTCTGTATTCTGTCTCGAGAAAATGTCTTGTTGAAAGAGTAGCTTAGACAGATGCACTGTCATTACAAAATGTATATAAATTGTACGAAAAGAGTAATATAAATGAATTATATACACATCTACCTACATTGACTTAATACAGGCTATGGAAGATAATACTGAAGAACAAATAAGTTAAAATATGGTGAGCAACTGACAAATTAAGCATTAACGTAATTCAAGAACGTGTGTTGAACAAGAAACACACAATTTGTTTTAGAATTTCGTGCAAAGCTACACTTGGGCTATTTGCATGTAGCCGTTCGTAATTGACAAATTAAAGATAAGGTGGCTAGCTAGTCGATAGTACTCACCTGCTCTTATCTATCAAATAGTAAGATTTGAACGTTATTATTATAGCGCAAATTGCGGAGCGAAAAGTTGACGCGAATTTAAACCCCCGTATTCACAGTCCAAGAACGCTAAACATTGATCCACGCCCGGCCCGTTTAGAAATAACACTAGGTATAATATTACTTTACAACTAATAGAAATAAGTAGGAAAAAATAGACTTTAAAGTTTCATAGCTATATAAAACCTTCCGTAACCAACATCAATTTAAAAGCTTCTACAACATAAGTGAGACTAAGAACCGAGCTAGAAATAATCCTATTAGACTTTTAAGTGGCGAAGGCTTGTCGACAGAATTACTTAAAGTAATATTTGATACGTGTAAGACAGAAATGAGCTCTCTCGGCAACATCTTGAATCCCGAAAATATAAACATTGTTTGTTTGTAGTTATGCACAAAGCTACACAATGGGCTATCTGTGCTCTGCCCGATACGGGTATCGAAACCCGATTTTTAGCGTTGTAAATCCGCAGACATACCTCTGTGTCACGGGGGAGGGCAAATATAAACATAAATACGGTGTCATATTCATCTAATGAGATCTTCCAAATTATTAAACAATCTGATTACCCCCTACAAATTACTGTTAAATGGAAGGCATTTAATCAAATCTTCAAAATTATTAAATAATCTGATTGCCCCATACAAATTATTGTTAAATAGAAGGCATTTAATCAAATCTTCAAAATTATTAAATAATCTGATTGCTCCATACACATTATTGAAACTCTTTGGAAGTTTTAAATCTTGCAGTATGTCTTGAGAGCGTCTTGGTTTCAGGGAATACTTAAAAGCCCAACTTACAATTTTGAAATACAAGGTTTCTGAATTTTGTACGTTGTTGTATTCAGCTGTGTTTGATATGAATTTGGTCGCAGTACTGAGTCTCCGACGAATCTTTAGAATTGACACGTTGAACTTTCAAATGTTTTCACACTTGTTTTTTGTCGTTTAAAATACAGATATCTGAAAATATTATGATAGTAACCAGGAGTGTGCATATATACATACACACTCCTTTGGTCATTGGGGTTACAATCGAGTATTCTAACTCAAGGTAATAATATTACTATTACTTAACACAATTAGTTGAGAAGACAGGGACATTGGATATAATGATACATATCTTATCAATAAACATGTTTTACTTTTAAGTAAATATAAAACCTGGCGAGTAGCAATTATTTTCTTTGATATTTATAACAGATTATTTATATCACAATAGCAAACGTTATATAAAATATTATGAGATAGAAATAGTATTATTTTTTGTTCATTCCTATAAAAAAATTAATAGTATTACGAACACAGTCCCCCGGTTGGTCAATAGGGAGTTTAATTTCGATTCCTCGCGGTGGACACAGCTGAAAGCCCAGTGCGGATTTACTCTAAACAAACAAATTACAGATATGTATTGAATATTTTATCGGAGAAAATTGAAGGCTGTACGTGATATATATCTGTATATACGTATAAATCCCATTATTGTAATAACCGTTAATAATAATAATAACAGATTAAAGTATTTCGATAATAATAATAATATATATACACCACACTGCACAACCATTTCTACTTAAAATGGAACTACCGAAAGTTCCACCAAAGGCTCGTTGTGAGCTTAAAAGCATACTTAGAACTATATTGTTCTGTACTAGCAACCGTATATAGGAAACCCATAATGATAGGACTAATAGACTATCTTAGTCTAGGGTTTGTTGACTCATAGGTAAATTCACTTACAACATCCGTAGAAAGCCATATATCTAATGTGTGTGTTTGTGTCAGTAGCATAAACAATAAAAACGTAGTAAATAGGCGAAAAGTCTATATGGTGTTTTAATTGTTCCGCAGAAGTAAAGTCATTACAATCAAACAGGAAACTCGGTGTCTTCCGGTTTGGTGATGGCTGATTAGTGGACCAGAAAAATTTTGATGAAATTAGTAAAGGTGCCGTTTGCAAAAGAATCAAAGAATTGCAGGAAGCAATTGTCTTATAAATCAGGAAGGCCTGCAAGGAAAAATCTGACATAATTACTTCAAAGGTCTAAGGAAACTTTGCAATAATGAAAAAAAAAACAACAACAACATTAGTTGGAACCCTGCTGTAGGTTCCATCTATTCAAAAAGCAGGGATTTTACTAAATTAGTAAAACAATTGGAAATTGTGTGTTTTAGTCCTACCTTTCCTTGTAATGATTTCGCTCGCTATTGGTAATTGTTATTTGGCTTACTCGTTTCCTTTTTATCTCGAAGAACATTGTAATTACTTCCATGTGTTATTAAGTTACAGTTTATTTTCATTTGCTGCACTACACAAGGAATTTCTAGTTTAGATCATTTCTGTTTTTTGATCATTTAATCAACCGTTAACATTGAAAATCTGAGTAACGTTCATGACGTCACGTCGTTAGGGCGACGTTATATAAATCGATATTTAACTGCATGGACGCACACGGAACAAATTTAATACTTTAATTGGCTGAAACACAAAATCTAACTTTTACAGTCAATATAATACTAACTAGGAGTTTTAAAATATATTATATTTATGTTTTGTTAAGATTCGACGCCAGGTGGAAGCAGCTACGTTATTTTCAAATACATATATATCATTTTGTGATTTAGAAAACTCTTTGTTGACATATTTGTAAACATTTTTGTTTTGATATGCGAAATTGTTCTGCAAAATAAAGATATACCTTCAAAATATTTGAGGGTAGATGCGTGTTTTGTATTTTGTAGTTTCATAAAAGTACTTGTCACTAATATAATTAAATGTGATAAGTTCTACTGGAGGAATTTGTGAACATTTCAATAAAAATAATAATTAATCTAAATTATAAGTAACAGGCAAATCACAAAAAGCCTTAGGTCATCATTTGAGTATTCTTATTATTAGCGTTGATTTCGGTCTCTATAACACACTTCACTCGAAAGAAGTGCCTATAACAATCAAGTCTTCAAGCTGAGTTAAAAGCTGTGTGGCTCGGACATTACAACTTTTGTCACTGGTCAATTATATTGTTGAATTATGTGTAGGATATTCGAGACCACCCGGATGATTGTTATGGAAATTAAGCGTATTGATGTTTGATGATTGTTTCTTGTCAAGCACAAATCTACACAATGGGTTATCTGTGCCGTGTCAACAGTAGTGATGTAACCTCGAACTGTAACTTTATAAGCCCTCAAATGTTTAAATCACGTTGTATTTGCTTTTCTCTACACAT